GCCGGTGCCATGGGCACGATGAAACCAAAGAACTCTCAAGCTGCGGATGCGCAATTGCTTCCTCTGCCTGGCTCTGGCCCAAGTCGGACAACTTCTAGAGTCGAGCCTCGGCGGCTACGGATGGCGCAAAGGACGGACATGCATGCATGCGTGCATGCACGCCTGCAGCAAATCATGCGGCAGTGTTTTCGTAATCATGCGCTGTATGGCGTGGTCAAGATGCTCCTGGCTGCGCCGATGCCATGGGCAGCCGCCCCTCAGAGGATCGAGCATCGAGGGTCGAGGGTCGAGGGTCGAGGTTTCGAGAATCGGATGAGGAAGAGGAGGATCGAGGACCGCGGATCGATGAGGAGGAGGAGGTGGATGAGGAGGAAGATCGAGGATCGAAGATCGCGAAAAAGGAGGACCGAGGAGAATCAAGGATCGAGGGGGACGGGCAGGTCCCCGCAGGAAGGACGAGAATCGAGCACCTGCGTCACTTGTGACAGGCTCGGGCCCTTTCCTGGCCTCTGGAGGCCTCCGAGGACCTCCAATGAGACCTCTGGGGACTGACCACGCCTTCTCACCGGCACGCCCGAGGTGGGGACGGAAAAACATTCGAGCAGGGGGTCGGCTGTAGGATTGAAGTGCCCCAAAATTGATGTCTTCGTCGAGTCTGCGAAAATACGTAGAATGACGCCTTTGCTTCGTACCTTCGGCGCGGAAACCAATTTCTGGGGGTTCATCGATTCTGTGGTGTCGGTCCCCTATACTCGCAACACCGGGACGATGCCCAGCAACAGATGTGACGGGAGCTGCGTGCCGGTCTCCGTCCCCCCGCCGCTCCGTCCCCGCGCCGATGAGCCTCCCGACCCCGGGCCTAGGGAGGAGCCTGGGCCACCCGACCACGGCCGGACCCCGGCCAGAGGAGCACCCCGCCAGAGCACCAGGCCCTCCGCCGGCCCAAAGCGCACCATCCGAGGGCAGCCTCCCCAGGATGCAGACGAGAACACCCAAAAGAAACACGAAGAGCATCAGGGCACCCTCCCCGAACCGACCTCGACCTTCCACCTCGGTCCGACTGTACGCGCACAGCGCCGCGCCGGGTGCGAAGCGCGCCACTCCTCGCGGCCTCGCGCGAGCACCCCAGCCGGACCCGACCGGGCAGCGCGAGGCGCCGCTGTCGTCGCGACCCTGCGGATGACCCAGGAGGAGAGCGATCGATCCCAGCGCTGATGCTGCTGCCCCCGGGGTGCCAAGCCTCCCCGAGCCGCGGGATGGTGCGACCTCCGGCCTCTCTGAGGCCCACGCCCGGTTCGGGCCCCCGAGCCGATACAAGACCATTTCCCCGGGAAGCGTTTCCCGGGAACCGCTTCCCCGGAACCGCTTCCCTGGAGGGCCGTTTCCCCATGTGCAGAAACCTCTTCCCCAGAGACTTCTTCCCCGGAGGGCCGTTTCCCCGGAACCGTCCCCAAAACTGTTTCCCGGGGTACCGTTTCCCCAGAACCGCTTCCCCGGAACTGAGGGCCGTTTCCCCAGAAACCTCTTCCCCAGAGTCTTCTTCCCCGGAGAACCGTTTCCCTCAAGAACCGTTTCCCCAGAACCGTTTCCCCAAAACCGTTTCCTGGAACCGCTTCCCGCGGATTCGCTTCCTCGGAGCTGTTTCCCCGGAACCGCTTCCCCGGAACCGTTTCCCCGGACCCTTTTCCTTGGAACCGTTTCCTATGTGCACCCTCCTCCTCAGAACCGTTTCCCCGGAGACCGCGTCCCCAGTACCACTTCTCGAGGGAGGATGAGGGAGGAATGAGGGATGAGAGATGAGGGAAGGAGGAATGAGGGAGGGAGGGAGGGAGGAAGGGAAGGATGAGGGAAGAGGGAGGCGGGAGGGAGGGACGAAGGAGGAGAGAGGGAGGGATGGATGAGGGAGGAATGAGGGAGGGAGGTGAGGATTTGGGTGAAGGAGGGATAGGTGAGGGATGAGGGAAGGAGGGATGAGGGAGGGAGGACGGAAGGATAAGGGATGAGGGATGAAGAGAAGTAGGGGGTTAAGAGGGATGAGGGAAGACGGAGGGAGCAGGAGGAGGAGGAGGAGGAAGCAAGAAGCGTCAGCTGAAACGGCCCAGACGAACCACCCTGTACTTGCGACAAGCCGTGGAAATGCTACTGAGCACACGGGATGTCTCGGGGAAACGGGCCAAACCACATCGGATCACCTCAAGTGCGGACAGCTATGAGCCCAGAGTTGGAGGGATGAGGGAGGAAGCGATGAGGGATACCAAGAAGTAGCATAGATGAGTGATGAGAGAGGCAAGGAGGGATGAGGGACCAGTCGGGCGGGCGGACCCTACCGGAGGGCTCGGGTCGGTCGGGCGGGACCCTAACGGGCGGGTCGGGTCGGGCGGGCGGGACATCAACAAATTGCGCCTCATCGAGCTGGCACGCGAGTACTCTAACGGGCGGGTCGGGTCGGGCGGGCGCGAAATTAATGTGTGGCGCAACATCGAGGTGGGACGCGAGTATCCTAACGAGCGGGTCGGGTCGGGCGGGCGGGCGGACCCTAACGGGCGGGACGGGTCGGGTCGGGCGGAAGGACCCTAACGGGCGGGTCGGGTCGGGTCGGGCGGGCGGGGCATTCAAGTATGATGCATCATCGAGTTGGCGAGTATCCCTAACGGGAGACGGGTCGGGCGGGGCGGCGACCCTGACGGGCGGGACAGGTCGGTCGGGCGACGGATCTAACAGGTCGGGTCGGGGCGGCGGTCGGGTACGGGGTCGGGCGGGCGGGACACCACGCATGGCGCATCACGGAGGTGGTGAGAGTATCCTCGGGGGGGACGGGTCGGGTCGGGGCTCGGGCGGCGGGCCTCGGGCGGGACGGGCGGGCGGACCCTAACAGGCGGGGGTCGGGCGGGCGGACCCTACCAGGCGGGACGGGTCGTCGGGCGCGTAACGGGTCGGGTCGGGTCGGGCGGGCGGGGCATTCAAGTATGATGCATCATCGAGTTGGCACGTGAGTACCCTAACGGGCGGGATGGGTCGGGCGGGCGGGCGGACCCGTACGGGCGGGACCGGTCGGGTCGGGCGGGCTGACCCTGACGGGCGGATCGGGTCGGGTCGGGCGGGCGGGACAGTAAAGCATCATGCATCATCGAGTTGGCACGCGAGTACCCTAAAGGGCGGGACAAGTCGTGCGGACCCTAACGGCCTAACGGGCGGGACTTGTCGGGTCGGGCGGGCGAACCCTCACAGGCACGTTGAAGTATTGCCCGTCATCGGTTTGGCACGCGAATGCCCTAGCGGGCGGGTCGGGTCGGGAGGGAGGGCGGGTGCCAGAGCACCCAGCTCGAGTGCCTGGCCCGGAGCACCAGGAGTGCCCACAGTGCCTGGAGTGTCTGGAGCGCGAGTGGACCGCTCCGGTCCTGAGAAACCGGTCCTACGGAACCTGGCCTGTGGAACTGGTCCTGCGGAACCGGGCCTGTGGAACCAATTCAATGGAACCAGTCCTGCGGAACCGGTCCTATGGAACCAGTTCCGCGGAACCGGTTCTGCAGAACTGGTCCTGTTGAAGCGGTTTTGATTGAACTGGACTTTGCTGAACCGGTCGTCTGTTGAACTGGTGTCTGTTAAACCGGTCGTCTGTTGAATTGGTCCCTGTTGAACCAGTCGTCTGTTGAACAGGTCTTTTGCCGCCCCGGGCCGCACGGCCAACTCTGGAAACCAGGAAGCCAAAAATGTTGATGTCTTGCTGGCACTTCCGCCACCTTCCGACAGCCATCCGCCGCTGGAGCCGCCGCGCTGCCTTGCTCCCGCCGGCTCCCGCTGGCTTTTGCCAGCTTCCGCGGAAGGCGAGTCGCGCCAAAGGCGAGGCCCCTATCTGGACCGCCACATCATAGGATAAGGAAGTCTCTTATCACTTCCAGATCCCAAGGCAGCTGACGACAGAGGGATCCGAAAAGTGAAGGTGGTAATGTGCTCCGTCCCAGGGGAAGGAACAAATCACCACGTAACCCCCCCAGCGGCTGCTGGAGAATCTGGTCTCCAAAAGCGGATGTGGTCACGTGTTGGGGCCTCTGACATAATAAGACACGATGGGGAAACCAAAAAGGCTTGGCAAAGAACCCCGCCCTTTGTCAACGAGTGGCTGCTATCAACTGGAGCCCGCAATCAACAGGACCGCTCCACGTCATGCGGACGCAGTAGTTGGGGCCTTCGGTGGAGCTCCCCATGGGAGCCCGAAACGTGTGAGCGGTCTGCCGAAATGCGGCGCAGCCGCATGTGGGCGCAGTCACTGGGGCCTTCGGTGGAGCTTCCTATGGGGCCTCGAATCGTGGGAGGGGTCTGCCGACATGCGGCGGGGCCGTATGCGAACGCAGCCACTGGGGCCTTTGGTTCAGCTCCCTGTGGGTCCACGAAACGCTTGAGGGGTCTGCTGAACTGCGGCGGGGCCGCATGCGGACGCAACCACTGGGCCCTTCAGTGAAGCTCCCGATGGGTCCACGAAGCGTGTGAGCGGTGTGCCGAAATCGGGCGGGGCCGCATGCGGACGCAGCCACTGGGGCCTTCGGTGGAGCTCCCTATGGGGCCACGAAACGTGGCAGGGGTCTGCCGAAATGGGGCGGGGCCGCATGTGGACGCAGCCACTGTGGTTGTAGAGTGGAGCTTGTGGCTGGCGACGGACCCAACCATATGCAGTTATCTTCGGTGGATTTCCCCATGGGGCCACGAAATGCGCGAGGGGCATGTCGAAATGGGGTGGGGGGTTTGGGATCGCATGCGGACCGTGCCATTGCGGCCTTCGGCGGAGCTCCCTGGGGCTCCGCGAAGCGCGTGAGGGGTGTACCGATACGGGCGTGACGCCCACATGCGAATGCTCCTTCTGGGGTCTTCGGTGGAGCTCCCTATCTATTGGGGCCACGAAACGTGTGAGGGGTCTGCCGAAACAGGCGTGGCGCCCACATGCGAACGCTCCCACCGAACGACCTACGGGCTCGACCCGCAGCGCTGCTGATGCTGATGCATTTCTCGCCATGTCACGGACCCCGCACTACCCTGAGGCTTCGAGGAGGATGAAAGAAGGAGGAGGGAGGACAGAGGTTTTGTACACCTGCCCACATGCGACGACGGACATGGATGTTGGCGCAATCTCTGCGCCAGAAAAATCAGTAATAAACTAAAACTAAAACTAAAAAAACCCTACGGGATGTGCCACGTCGAAATGCCCGCTCAACCTCTCGCTCATGCTGGGATCAGGCGGTGAGCTTGTCGTAGACCTCGCGGATCTTCATGGCGATGATAGCCTGAAGGAGCCCAGTGCCGTTCTGCGATCCTGGGCTGTCCTTAAGCTTGACCATCGCATCCGTAAGCTCGCTGGGACTGCGGCCGTTCAACCCTTCGATGTTGGCCTCGATCTCAGCCACCTGCTCTGCCATGTTGTCCATGTCAATCTCTCCGTCCATCTCGATCACGCTCACTGGGCTGCCGTACCAATCGTCGTCGTACTGCTTGATGGTGGCGCCCGGCTTGCTCCCAGTGAGGGACATCTCCTTCTTCAGGGAAATAGCGGGGAAAGCGCCGCCCTTCTTCTGAATGAGCTTGACCTTGAGGTAAGGCAGGCCCTGGTCGGAGGGCTCGTAGCGCAAAACCACGTCGGCGTCCTTCTTCTGCGGGTCCACGTACTCGGCGAAGTCGGGCAGCCTCTTCTCGATGTCTTCCCTGACCTGCTCCTCGGTCCAGCCGCGCTCGGCCACGTCGCGCTGGATCTTCCAGGCGAACTTGACGTCGTTTACGATGTCGATGTAGAGTGCCATGTCGAGGTTGGAGCGGGCCTTCTCGTCATAGATCGGGTGGAGGCCCTCCACGACGAAGACCTTGTTCGGCTGGATCAGCTCGGGGGGGTCCTTGTTGCCCGTGTCGTGGTTGTAGATCGGCTTATAAATCGCCTTGCCCTGCTTCAGGGCTTCGATCTGCGCCCCCATGAGCGCAAAGTCGTTCTCGCGGGCGTCGAGCGCGCTCAGAGAAGTAGCCTTGCGGCCTGCCCGGTCGTTGATGTGATAGTCGTCCAGGCAGATGACCGTCAGCATGTCGCCGATGGCCGTGTGCCCTGGCTTCACCTCGGTACCCAGGGCGCCCAGCACCCGCCTGAGGAAGGTGGACTTGCCGCAGCCGGAGTCCGCGGCAACGCCGATCATCACCGGCGGCGTCTCGGGCTTGCTCTCGGCCTCGAGGATGGGCACCATGTCGTCGGTCCAGGCGTGGGTGGAATACAGCTTGATACCGTCCACCTCCCAGGGAGGGACAAGAGTTGCCCCCGCCCCGGCGAGCCCCATGCGGAAAAAACCATGCAAAACCTGCAGCCGTCCCGAACATGAGGATGCGCGATAAAGGATGTGAGGCCCTTGGGCGCCCAAACTGAGGCCGAACAAACTGAGGCCGAAGTTGGAAGCACCTGGCTCATGGTTATAGGCTAGGGGTTCGGAGTGTCCGAGAGGCGAGGATGCAAGGATACCCTTTCAAGGCAATGTATCTCTTTGATGCGATTTGACTGTATGTGGGCGCAGGACGGAGAGCACAGGGCAGAGCGGATGTTCGGCACGACCCGGTAAGACCCACATAGCGAGGGCGAGGGCCGATACACATGTAGTACGTAAGCGAATAAAAAAAAATCATAGACACAACAACTGGGGTCTGCGCGGATTTCGTGGGTCGGCGCTGCAGGACCGGGCATTGCACCGAATCGGGAAGTCGGATCGAATCGGAATGTTCGTTAAATCAAGGCTGCATCTGCAGGGAGTCAAAGCCGAATCGGATCGACTGCGCTGGACCCCCTCCCCTGGCGCGCGCGCCAGAGGCCCAACGAAAGCCCGCGCGGGACCTCCACGAGCTTGTGTTGGCGTCGCCGCCTTCCCAGACGTCCGGAGCCGCGATTGTTTCAACAACCCAGCTCAGACGTCTGGCCCTGGCTTTTCATCCTGGGCCGTTCGTGGCGGACCCGGGGGCTCCGTGAGGGCCCCCAGGAAGCCGACAGCAGCCGCAGAACCTTCCGTCGCGCCTCTGACACGACGCGCCAAGGGTCGGCTTGCGGACCGCAGCCCGGGCCTCAGGCGGCCGTCCGGGACGATGCTGGCATCCCCGGAAGGCCAGCCGAGGGGCGCAGCCGGTGGAGACCAGCCCAGGCCCCGAGAACCTCCGAGAGAACTTCCAGAGACCTCCGAAAATCGGAAGCTCTCCGTCCCTCTCAGGAGCCTCGCGGGTCTTCGCCGCCTCCTCGGGGGAGGGGTACACGAGGCCCGTCGGGACGCTGTTGGCGGCGCCTTGCATTAGGTCAGGCATGTCCTCCTAAAGCCGGCTTTTGGCGTACATAAAAAATATCCAAAAAATGCTCAAACATTGTCAAAAATAAGACACACCGCGTCCCCATATGATTTTGGACTACTTTTGAAGACCCCTCTTGTAGAGGGACACGCCCGACGGAAGCCTTGCAGCGCCACGCGCGCCCTGCCGCCCTGTGGGCGCAGGCTCGGC